TCCTCACTGGAAAAGCACCTATCATTGTCCTACCCAATCAGGAGGGCACGGTTAAATTCACTGTTGTGCCTGCAGAATCTCAAATTTAAAAAAGGCCCAAAGAAAAATTATTTGCTTCTCCCACACTACCTTCCTCCAACATGAAAGATGTGGCTGGCACCGAAAGGGATCTGTGTTTACAATTTGTTTCCACAGCAACAATCTGCAATTTTAATACTGTGTTCTCAGAGAGCTCACAAACCAACAAAGCAAAGATCTGAAAGAGAGATGGCACAACAATCCTTTCTCTGGGTACTCAGCAGCACTAATACCATTTGATTCTGTCTTTCTCGTAAACACAAACACACATATTATACACATGCATTCCACTGACAGTAACATCATAGCTAACAAGCATTATAACACTTCTTAGATATGTGACCAGTCCCTTGTGCACTCTCTGTTGGATTTCAGCTTGTCTTGTTAGTTACAAATATTTTATCAAAACCTTCTGCTGCGAACTGTCCAATAAATATATGTACAAAATGCAACATTAGTTTTCCTCTGTGAAATCTCTCAGAATACATTATGTGGCTCTGCAGGGTATAATACTGTTACATAATACTTGTATGTAATGGAACATAATGTTGGTAAAATCCACATTTTAGTGTATTCTGGAAAGCAGTAGGTACATCTGAAATATCCGGCATCCATAATATCATGTCCATATTATAATAATATGAACTCTCTGGGCCATCTAGCAGGCTTTCTACGAACACAACTTTCTTTCCCCCTATAAGGTTGGTGTTAAAGGTTAACCCCATCTCTGTTAGCCTTCTGGAAGGCCCTTTCACCAGCCTTGGGACCTCAAGGGACAGCCTGCAAGGTGGCTGGCTGAGATTAAGTGATCTTTGTTCTCCTGCTTACTGAATTTTATCTGTTTATTTTATGTCTTGTCTGTTTATTTTTTCTTGTTTTAGATTGCTATTGAGTTTTTAACTGTTGTTGTGTTGCATGCTGTACAGAGTCACATGTTTCTAAGATGGGTGGCTATATAAATGTGCTAAATAAAAAATAAGGCTTTGTTTCCAATTAAGTCTGTGACATTACAACACTAATAAGCCATACACTGATTACAACATTGATAAGCCATACATACAGAGGGGGGGGGGGGTTGCAACCCTCACATGATATATTAACAGCACCAGTCAACCAGCTTAGCCAGTGGTGCTGGGTGCTGGGAGTGATGCAATTTCCCCAACCACATCAACATTTCAAGAGTCCTGTTCTCAACTCCTAGAATACCAAGCAAGTTCTATAATACCACATTCTCATACAATGAACTAAATGAAATTTTATAGAGAGAAATTAACATTACAACAACCCTCCCAATTGTTCTGAAAAAAAATGTCATCATGAATTCTTAATGTGCACAAAGTGAAAAAAAACCCCTTCTGCTACATACATTGCACTGGAAAGCTTGTTTAGTGCTGGCACTAGCACAATTTTCACTGTGCTCCACATTGACAGTGCATTTACAGATTATATAATATATAAAGTCTGAATTTTAAGTGCATAGATTTCATTACTCTTGAGCTAAATTCTAATTCAACTGTGTATGGGGATTTACAAATTTTGCATATTTTCCGTTATGGGTTTGTGCTATTTCCTTTTCTGTGAATTAAAAGAGCATGGACATATATTTATATTGAATGCATTTTTATCCAGAATAGGCATTTCAGTATTCCTTTGCTCCTTTTAAAAACATTTTTGTATGTATTTTTTTTAAGGTGATGGCTGAATTACAACATTTGGAGGAATAAATGATCCAAAGGGTAATCAAGTTCTATTTGGAATCTTCCTCTGGGGAATAAGAATTACGGTATATCCTTGTTCTTAAAATGCAGCTATCACATCTCCTACTTTGATTTAGAAATGAGAGGTTCTTGGTGCTCTCTGAGCTTGGTTGTTTTCTTGCAGATATTTCATTGCCCAAACTAGGTAACATCAACAGTGCTAGTAGGGAGTGGGGTTTGTTCTCAATAGGGGCTTACCTTCTCAGTGTTCCTGGGAATAGTATTGGAGGTTCTTTGGTTTGGCTGTTACTGTTAGTTTGTTTGTCAGTTCCTTGATTTGGGTATTGTTTACTTGATTGTTGGTCTGATGTTAATCTTGATGTTAATCTATGCTCATCTGTGTGTTAATTGCTGGTGGGGAGGTGTTTTGGTCTCTTGGTTCCTTTTTGGCTTGTTGATTGTCTCTATTGCATAGTAAGTAGATGTTATTTATGTCGATGCCTCTGTTGATGGCCAATTTGCCAAGCTGCTAGGCTTCCAGGAATTCTCCAGCATTTTTGGACTTGGTTTGAGAGCAAACTCCATTCCTTACTAGCAATGATGATATTACTTAATTTGGATAATAAAACGTCTGCAAGAAAACAACCAAACTCAGACAGCACCAAGGACCCCTCATTTCAACCCTGAGTTACAAATAGTCTCTTTTGTGAAACAGAAATATACAACTGGGTATCATTAGTATGTTGATTGATATCTTATCCAGAACTGATGGATCCTCTCTTTATCAGTTTCACATAGACATTAAACATGGGCAATAAGATTGAACCCTGCAGCCCCCTAAGCTGGAATAAACAGGTGCTTAATTAACTATGGCCTCCTTCCAGAACCACTGATGATGAGCAATTGGCACTGCTGCCAGCTCTCATGGTTATAGAAAAATATCTATGATTAATGCCACTGAGAGATTTGTTTGGACCATAGAATTAATCAATTAATACAGGTCAATTAATACAAGAGTGACCAATACAATTTCCATTCTATGCCCAAGTCTGAACCTTGACTCAAAGAGATCAAGATAATTAGCTCCATCTAAGACTTTTTGTAAGTGATATCCGCTTACTTTCTCTAAGTTCCTCCCTAAGCAGGAAAGGTTAGAAACAGATGACAGCTATCTAATACAGCCAGAGTAAAGGATGGCTTCTTGAGGAAGAAATGTACTGTAGCCACCCTCAAGGGAAAAAAAAAAGATATGATTTCTTCCCTCAAAGAAGCAGTAACCGCCTCTTGTATTCAGGTGCATATCTTATATCCTTAGTGGCCTTCCAAAGATGAAGCCCACAGACCACAAAACTGAAGTGTAAGAGAGACCTGTCCATTTCTTCAGAATTCACAAGCTCAAGCAAATACCAGATGATTTCAAAACACAGTTTCCAAGTCACGTCCTTTGGAGCTATACATGCAGCATTGCAGTACATATGAATGATTTTTCTCAACTAAACAACTGGCAAAAATGTTACATCAGCCTGCAGGGAGATATGACTTGCCTCTCTTTCCTCAAAGGGGAACAAGCCACTGTAAACAGTGCCAGTGAATGACATTCTGCTAATGCAATAAGAACTGATTGCTTTACTGATGCTTTACTATTCTTATTGCTGCTGACCTTGGACTCATAGCAGTATTTGGTCGTACTCGGACCTTGTTTCCATCAGAATGCTCTGGACATTACCTTTTGCTGCTTCATCACTGAGAGCTTCTTGGTAAACCAAGGAGCCCCCCAGGATCAGGGTATACTGAGAAGTCTCTTGAGAACAATCTCATCAATGCTCACAATATAAAACAAGTTAAATCCATATGTTCTCTAAGATAGGACCAATGGTGGGATTCAAATATGTGAACAACTGGTTCTCTGTGTGGATGCTGCTTCCAGAAGTCCATTCTGGGCCTGGGCAACAAAAAATTAGCTACCGGTTCTGCCACACTGATGCGAACTGGCTGAATCCCACCACTAGATAGGACCATCTAATCCAGGGGTGTCAAACTTGCAACGTCACGTGATGTGTTGTGACATATCGCCACTTTTTTCTCATTGCCGGCAATGGAGTGGGCACGGTTTCAGCATGACGCATCCAGCCCGTGGGCCAGCAGTTTGACAGCCCTGATCTAGTCAGTCCACCATGCTTCATAGTTCAATGGTGATAACTCACAAAGCTGTCCAAAAACTGACCAGACTATGTAAAAAATACTCAATAATGTGCTCTTTCAGATCATAGGCCACCTGTTCCAAAATAAAGATTCAGTTAGATCTTATACTGGGGAAACTTGTGTAATGTATAACAAATCCTGGGAATAAATATAACATCAGAACAATTAATTCTGTACAGACAGATTGTTGCATAAATGTGATAGAGACATTACATACCCTTTAACTTCTATAATAGTTAATCTGTTCTAGAATTAATAATAATTTAGTCACCTTTCCCCAGCCAGGTTGCTTCCAGAAGATTAGATAGGTTGGAAGTTCTGGATCTCAATTCCATTACATGAGAAGGAAGGATTGTCTTAGCCAAGAATTCTTGTATACAACAGGGTTTCATTTCAAAGTATCCAATATTCTATTTTGGCAATGAAAAAGGCCAGTGAAATAATAGGACTACACCAAATGCTCTCTATAAACTTTAATTACACATCAGTCTTATTCTTAAATTAAAGTTTACATGATTTCAAATTTTCTTTCCTAGAACAACTTTGGCCAAAATTCTGTTACAGAACTGTGATTTCCATAATCCTTACCCAGAGACCCAATGCATTTAAATACCACAAGGTTTGGGAAGGTTGTCTTAGAACCTATGCCACTATTAGCCTTTTTATATAAATATATAGCAATTCTGTAGCCAAGTTAACAACACTAGCACCAACCAGTCTTGCTCTAAGTCATGCCATCATATATATTTGTCAGCACAGAAAAATAAAAAGGGAAATAAAAACAAAATACATGTCTAAACGCTTGTTACATTTTTCTCTCTTTTGCAAACAACTCATTTTGATCACACATGCTGCCCTCAAAGTCGTGTTTAAACATAAGCAAGGAACAAACTGATTCATTAAATATATATATGGAATGCCACTGCTTACCTGTCAGGTGATCAGCAAGGACAAGACAGCAACGGGAGGACACAGAGGAGAAAAAAGAGCTAGAAGGGATCATTCACAGCTTATAAAGGATATGGATTGCACACCATCTTGATGCACCAGCTACGAGGACTGGTCGTCTGTTTTAGGCAGAAGAAAACCACGGGGGCCAAATCAGGATACGGCACATTTGGGTCCAGTGGGGGCACATCACCATCGTCCTCATTGTCCTCTAAATCTGGGGACGGTAGTGGCTGCTCCAGTGAAGTTGGTGGCTCACTTATTCCCAGGTCCACATGTTCCAGGGAGCACATTGTGGGGCTGTTGTGAATCGATGGGCTCCCCAAATGCCAGGCAGAGGAGTGGTGGGAGCCATGCTCTGCCATGCTGGCACAAAATGAGAACTCCTGAAATACATAAAAAGGTAGTTGAACATTTCCTCCCAGTGGATAATACAGCAATAGCAATAGCACTTAGACTTATATACTGCTTCACAATGCTTTACAGCCCTCTCTAAGCAATTTACAGAGTCATCATATTGTCCCCAACAATCTGGGTCCTCATTTTACCAACCTCAGAAGGACAGAAAGATGAGTCAATTTTGAGCTGGTGAGAATGGAACTGCCAAACTGCTGGTAGCCTGCAATACTGCATTCTAACCACTGTGCCACACAGACCATGATTCTCTCTCATTTTTGGCTTTGACAGCACTGGGAAGAAACAATGTTGAACCATGAAATTATTTGTTAAAGTTCCAGTTCATACTGAACACATTTTTGCCATTCCTTTTTGTGCTATTTAAATGAAAAACATTTTATTTCATTTTTTTAAAATAAAGTAATTATTACCATCCACCAATAACAACCAAAGGAGTCTGCACCATCCTGATTAGTATACTGGGGGTGTGAGTTGTCTGGATTCACGACCAAATGCATTGGCAACTCAACTAATATGCCCTGCAAAGTTGCCTTGTGTTGTGGGATGAGTGTCAGAATGTTAAATGTGACTCGGGTTGCAAACTGTGCCTATAATGATGTAATCCACAGAATGTTTCACCACATGATGACTGGATCTATCACATCCTTTATTTCCTTTTAAAACTGAATGCAGTGTGATTCAGCAATAAAAGCAAATATGTTTTTACACAATGCATCACTAAAATGGAATTCACAGCCATCCTATAAAAGGATGACATTCAATTTAGATGGGTTTAAAAGGTGTTTGGACCAATTATTTTTAAAAAGTAGGAATCAGTCACTACTTACACTACTCTGGGACTACAAACAATATAACTTTAATATTAGCTGCTGAGAAACAGCAGGCCCTCCTTTCCATACTTTGGAGCTTCCTGAATCTTTCTAGTTGACTATTGACTGGCACAGAATCCTGGATCAGACAGGCCTTTTTTGACCCAGCAGTCTCTTTGTATGTACCAATCTGATTGTGCAACTTGGCATTTAATCTTCTCAGATGTCTCACTCCATTTATTCACTTCATCTCCAAATACAGTACTTCCAATGGTAATTATAAAATTATGAAATTGCTGCTTTATCAAACCAATATCAATCCTAAATTCAAACTATAAACCACATTAATAGATCCATATATGCCATGAAAACTCCATTTTCTTTTCAAAAGCATTCTACCTTAGCAAGATAATTGTATGAACAATGATGGGAGAATGATTATATTGCCACAGCAGAGGAATGGATTGTGAAAGTATCAAAATCAAAGAAATGGCAAAATCGAGGGGGGGAAAAGAACAATTTTTTAAAAGATTGGAATATGGACATCTTGCTAAAAGAAGAAAATAATGAAATGATGGCTTACCAGTCTGAAGATTGAATTTGATTAAATGTGAGGCTGAAGGAACATATATAATATCTAAGAGGGAGGAGAGTTTATAAAATTATAACTATCCTTTAAAAAGAAGGTTGGATATCATTATATTTCTTAACTTTAGTTCTTTTCTTTTTCCATTTCTTGAATTTTTTTTGCTTTTCTCTTTTTTTGTTTCCTTTCTTTTTCTTTCATTTTGTGTTCTATTCTTTTTTCTTCTTTTTTTTAAGAAAAATTCTTAATAAATATAACTAAGAGTAATATAACTAATAAAATAAGACAAAAAGATTTCAAAACCAGAATTAACTGATTTCAAACTGAAAATTTGTGAGATGGGCAGCCATAAAAATTCGATAAATAAATAAATAATAAACTTTTATAAAGGAGGAGGTGTTGACCCCTTTCCTGAAAGTAAATACCTAAATTCAAGTTAGCAAGTAAATCAGTACAATTGGCTCTGATACAATTCAGTACAAGAAGGTATTTAGCCCGTTCTGGAACCAAAATATCTACTGAAACAAATAAGCTATTACATCTGCCTTTAATTATTTCAAAAAACAATTCTGTACTAAAATGGGAGAACTATACAATATTGGCTTCTTCAATATAATTAATATAAAAAGCACCAAAGGTTACAATAAATAATAGGACATAGGGCTCTTTACAAAAGACCACGAAACACTGCTGGATTTAATACTGAATGCCCCACTGAATAGCTCTTAAGCAATTCAAAAGCTTATAATGACTGTTGACTGAATTTTAAGAAATGCCACCTATTGTCTATGACAAGGCCAACTCCATTATTAGGCATTTTGTCACAAAAGGATGACAAATTATCAGCCACTACCAGAAATTGGGAGAGCTGCATGAAGAATTCTATGTTTCATTTGCTAAAATCATTTGCCTGGCTTTGGGTTCAGTGCACAAGGACTTTGAGGGGGCGGGAGGGTGAGGAAGACATGACTAGTTACTGTAATTCATGCAGCAGAAAACCAGGGGTGTTTAAATCAATAACCAAGTACAGACAAAAAAAAGGTTGAGATTTGACCTGGGTTTTACTTAAAGAAACTTGCTGGGCTGTCGCAGAAAGGGTAACTACCCCAAGAGACAAGTAGAATAAGCAGGTTTTGAGAGACCCTTCCTATTTCCACCACCACTTCTTTTTTTCTCTCTCTCTCATCTTTCCTCCACCTCTTACAACAAAATATTTTTACACAATTTCCTTGAAACAGATTTATTTCCTTCATCTGATAAAGTGGCCTCAATACACAAAATCCAATGATAAAATAAAATTATGCAGTCTTAAAGATGCCTCTAGCTTTAATGATTTCATTTACTGTTGTCTTTTAATAATAATTTTCAAACGGATGTTCAATGTAGTTTTAATGGATTTGCATTTATATAAAGCCTCAAAGAATCAATTGTTTTGGTTGAGGGGGAAAGGAGGAGCTATGCAAATATTTGTAATTATTCTGCTTTTCTCCTACATTTGAGAAGCTTCAGCAGACAGCAAGTACTTAAGGGTCTCACACACACAGAGAGAGAGAGAGGGGGGAGGGAGGGAGGGAGAGAGAGAGAGAGAGAGAGAGAGAGAACACATTCAGACATTTTTCATAGTAAAGTGCAAGAATGGAACAGAAATAAAGACAGAAAATTGCAGGATATTTCTTTCCAGTGTCTTATACAATGGCCTTCCAAATCTCTATGTAATGAAAAGATTCTTCTCATTCTGCCTTAAGAACAGGGCATCATAGAACAGCCAGCCTTACAGAGTTGGCCTAGATAGCAACACAAGACTATTTTAAAGTATCAGCTCGTAGAAAAATCCAGTTCTCAACACCACAGGATTTATTAATGTCAATGATCCAAAACACAGAGCTTATCTCTCTCTCTCTCTCTCTCCCTCTCCCCTTAATCCCTTCCCTCCTCCCTCAGAACTGAATGTTATCTCTCCTGAGATTTTTCTATCTGTAAGCCATCTTTCCTGTTCTATACTATACAGCCCACTTCAATCAACTTTGCTTAATCTAAATACTTACGACTTCCTGCTATTTATATGGAGACGCTTCATCAAACTGTCATTAGGCATTCCAGCAATGCATCACCCAAGATGTTCCACTGCCTCACACTCTTTTGTGTGTGTATTTTTATATCCAAATCTACTTTATTTTAATGATTCTTATTTCATTTCTTTCTACCTGAAAACAGCTTACTACTAAGCATCAGGGTTATGCATAAACGAGTTGCATATTAAAACCAACAAACACATTGGAGGGAAATTTACATTGTACTAGATTTTTTCTTTATTCTGTACAGATATAAATATTTGCTAGAAAATCTGGATGATAGAAAAGAAATGTGTCCATCAACAGAATGTTCTGTTATTTTCTTTCTTTTTTGAAAAATATTGGCTTGATTTCAAAATACATTTGTTAATCTGAGTAACTTGAAAAAATATTTAAAATATTTTAGAATAAAAGTTACAGTTACAAGTTGTTCCATTTTTAAAATAAATCATTCCCACCACTTCTAATATTCAGACTGTGGGTGTGTTGCTATAGCTAAAATTGCATCAATATGCAGAAGGACTAGTCTACAAATTTGGAAATGCCATGTCTCCAGAATCAGCAGCTCTCCCCAGTTCTCCAAAAGGAATCAGAATTTATTGAATTCCAGAACACTTACTATGCCTTTCTGTCCCTTCTCATCCTAAAGATGTACATCTACCATTATACAGTTAATCTTCTATTCTTCAGTCTTGTCTGAGACCTCAGAACTGGGGTCCTTAAGAACAAGAGTCAACATTTCAAGCTACAGAATCATCAAGCTACTATCCTCCTTAACTTTTAGTAGAATCCTAAATCTGGAAGTGACCATAGCCGAACATCTCGCTCAGTGCATGGTCCTCTAGAGCAGTGTTTCTCAACCTTGGCAACTTGAAAATGCCTGAAGAATTCTTCAAGTTAAAGTTCACACACCTTCAAGCTACCAAAGTTGAGTAACATCACTCTGGAGCATCGATGACTATCCAGCATTTGTTGAAGACCTTTCATGAAAGATTACTCACCACTTTGTAGACATGCACATTGTTACAATGACAAAATTTCTCCTGATATCTAGCCTGATCCTCTTTCCTTGGATTTTAGTTCTGGTCCTGTCTTCTAGGGCAATAGAGAATAATCCACATCTCTTTCTGTGTAACAACTCTTCAGTTATTTGAAACTGCTATCATATCTCACCTCAGACATTTTTCTGAAGGCTAAACATACACAGATCCTTTACTATTTCTCATTCGGCTTAGTATCAAATTTTTTCATCATTTTGGATCTATCCTCTGAACTTGATCCAGTTTATGTCCATTGCTTTGAACTATGTCCATTGCTTTGAACTATGGTGCCCAGAATACTCCAAATAGGGTCAGACCCTGGCAGAATAGAGGGGAACAACTGAGTCCTATGATCTGGACTCTATGCTTCTCCTAACACACCTAACACACCTCAAAATAATAAGCTGAACGTGCACTGTTCTGGTCTTAGAAACAGTAAAT